GCCACCAACACAGCTCCTAGAAAGACAAGTCAAATTCAAACTCATTGCCAAGTCAATTCCAATTTATATAAAACAGAATAGAACTTCCCCTGTGGGTTTTGAAGACACTAAGTTTTCATGGGAGTAGAAAGCCTATTCTTTCTCTCAAGGTTTAGAACTGCTGACCTTGAGGATAGGTGCCCAATGAGTAGTCCAGGGCTACCATGGAAAGCAATTAATGCCCAACAAGTATTTCTTGCAAAACCTTCTACTAAGAGAGTTGAAATAAGAGGGAGCACAGTTTAAAAAACAAATTTTTTCTTTATTTTGAATGTATAATGGATCTTCTGATTCACTACAATGTGTCAAAAAGTATTTATAAAGTTATGGGCTATCATAGTGCACACAGTAATATTATCCTTAACGTATCTCCAAATATCGTACTAGAAAAATACCTAAAAAAACACAAAACAAAACAATTTTGTCCTTTCTTTCCATCTCTTTTGTCCATAGAGGATTGTCTCCTGAAAGTAGAGTTGGTATTATCTCATTCAAAATACAATGTAGAAAATATGTCTTCAATTTCCTTGTGCAGGTAATGATTTTGTACTTAAAAGGGATCTTTTCTAATATGTCAACTGTGGTAGTTACATAATCTGTTGTCAATTTGAGACTTAAGAATGAAGGGGTGCAGTTTAGCCTGTCCATCAGGTCGCAGCTTGATGATCTCATTTGGAGGTGCTAAGGAGATAAACAGCTCCCTGAAGGTAGGATACTCACCCACTCCCTGAGAGACATTACTGAGCAGGAGTGATGAGCTACACTGATGCAGCAAGAGCCCTGGGAATTGGAGGAGCTACATGGAGACCCCTGCCAGTGCTGAGATGCTTCTACTACCACTGGATCTATAAGACTTTCTACACACTGGCTTGTGATCTTCCTGCACTTGGCATTATTGCATGGCTGCGTGAGTCTAAAGAGGAATTTACGGACTAGTATTGGACATATGAGCTGATATTAAACTTATGGACTTGATCTGAACTGGTTTGGGATGTTTTCTTAATGAACAATTTCTCTTTGTATAAAAGTCTTTCCTAAACACATATGAGTATTTATGAATTTGTTTCTCTAGTCATCCCAGACTAACACATCGACCATTCTAAGTGGAGATAATTCATGATTGTGTTCAGAAAAAAACTGAAATAACTTGGGTGTTTTAAATAACAGGATAAAATCTGAACCTTATCATATCTAAAATGAATTAGAATTTACAAAATATCAATCCTAAAGAACTCCAAAAAAGAAAGAAGTGGGGCAGGTAAGGAGGAAGGAGGAGGGAAGGAGAGAGGGAGCAAAGGAAGGAGGGTGAAAGAAGAGGAATGGAATGAGCAAGAAAAAGTCACATCATAACTCATTCTTTTTTTCCTCTGATGAAAGACCTTAGTCATCAAAATTTCACTTGCTACCTTGCAAAATATTTTCATTAAAATTGGCAGGAAAATCATCTTGCTGTTTATTTTGCTGCCAGCTCAGAGCAAGGATATGGCACTGTGTCAATGGAATGCAATTAATGTAAATCAGCGGATTTGGCTACTTGGAATATGTCCCCTATGTTTCCCCCTGTATCACATCTGTTAAAAATGTGTCTTAGATGAGAACATGTTGGTGGTTGATAAGAAGGTACATCCTCGTGTCTTCTTAAATGCATTGCCTTATTTTGCAAATTAGACATTGACATTTTTTTTTCCTTATAGAGAACCGATTGAGTATTGATGTTTTTAGAAGACAATTTATGGACAACATAAATTGGTCTTTGAAAGACAGGATTCACAAGCACAGAAAGAAGATCTTGGTGTTGTTTTTCCATGCAGGAGGCCAGAATAAATTACAGTTTGGAAATGGAACGCTTGTGGTACAAGTAGTCTAGTTTGTCAGGAGTAGAGCGACTGTGAAGGAACGTGTTTGGATCCAAGTCTGAGGATACTGACAGACAAGGTCATGGTGAGACCATAGAACTAACAGAAAGAATCTGGCTTTTTCCTTCGTCACCAAAATATTGAATATGGATGTGAAAATATCCTTTGCTCCCTGGTACTTTAGAAATAATTTCTGGTTCAGGGTTTCCTTCTCCCATAAAGAGTCTCTGAAATCCACAGGGGGCAGTTATTCCCTACTTAAGGGTCTCTATGAGTCCGCATCAACTTAATGACAATGAGTTTATGGGAAGCCAACAAACCTAACAGAAGCTCAAATCAAAGTCATATTTGGGAAAGACTGAAAAAATATGTAAGATATTAGAAAACAGTCTAGAGCCTCATATAATATTTGGTGCTAAGAAGTACAACGTCTTTTTAATGTTCATGTAAGAGGCTCTCTCTATAGTCTCTTTTTAAGCCTGAAATATATCCTGAGTGTAAAAGCAAGTGTGGCTCTTCCTGCTTTTAAAGGTTAATTGAAGGAAGTTTTCTTAGCCAGCAATGGGAGAACAACCAAGCTTCATTATATACCCTATTAATGATATTCAGGCAATTTTCTTGTTTGCTTCATTAAATTTTCCATATCTCAACGCAATAAATAGCATTTCGAACATGT